TTTCTCAAAATACTTTAGGCATACTTATCTCTTACAATTGAGCTTTGAAAGGAAACTATAAATATCTCATCAATTTTAAACAAACATCAATTTTTTTACAACAATTAAACATTGTACTAATAAATAAAATGTATATCTTTGTCTTAGTAATTTCCTATAATAGAATATAATATAATTCTTCAACTAAAAATATTTATCATGTCATATATTGAAAAATCAACAATTTATTATATTAATAATAAATAATCATTTCCTATGTAGTTTGCCTTGGACGGTGGCCGGCAGAAGCCGCGGCGGCTGAACGGAGCTCAATAGCGCGGCGAGGAGGATCCTCGTCCGCTTGGGTGGGAGGTTGTTTTCAGCTCCGATCAGAGTAATTCCATTCTTTGGAACCGAAATTGGGAGCATTCGTATTCCATCATAGGCTCTTATACCTAACAAAGCCGCACGCCTCAAAATAATTGTTGTGATGGGGATTTTGAGGTTTGAGCAAAGATAGAGCAAACTTCTTCCTAATAATTTAGAAATTAGTTCAAATATGACTAAAACTATGGCAAAAACCTAAAATAGGACTTGCTATGTTTTTATTCCAAAATTTGACCATATGAGTCCTATGAGAAACATACCTATTTTTGCATTCCATTCTTACCCTTCCATTTAATATAAATTTAAAATAGTCAAAAACCATAATTAAATATTTAATTCATAATAAATTCGAAAAAAATTCAAAAATTGGTAGAAATATAATTAAAAAATTTATAAAATTTTTATAAAATAAAAAATTCAAAAACTTTTTTTTTAAAATAATTTTATTTTTAAAAAAAATTAATAAAAAATAGTAAAACTCCGTAAAAAAAATTTTAAAAAATATGGATGCCTTTCCCACCGCCTGTACTACCTCCCAGCACCACCACCTCCGGCCGATGAAAAAATGCCATTTTCCCAGAAAAATGCCATTTTTTTCTGAAAATGCCAAAAAGTGGCATATTTCTCTTTTCGAATGCCAACATTTTCATTTTTTTCTGCCATAAATATGGCATTCGTAATGAACTTGGCATTTTTTTCCCCGGTGACTGGAGGTGGTGGTGCTGAGGCGGCAGAGGCGGCGGCGATTTTTTTTTTGAGTTTTATTTTTTTTTATTTTTTTTTTAATTTTTTTAATTTTTTGACAAAAAAAATTAATTAAATTTTTAATATCGAAATGTTTTTCTTAACTTTATCGTATTTTTTACGATGTTTTTATTATTTTTTATTATTTTATTAGGAATTAAAACATTTTAATAGCTATAAGGGTATAATTGTCCAAGGTACACATAATTAGCCCTTTGCAAACATAGTTTATTTTTTGGTCCTATTTGTGAAAAGTGAATGACTTTTAGTCCTATTTTGATAATTAACTCCTAATAATTCTACACTCAAAATAAAAAATTATAAATTACCTATTCATAAAGAGTTTTTGAAAAAAATACTAATATAAAACTTATTTATTATGACTAATAGTTAACTACAATATAGTGTTATTGTCATTTGTCACTTAAGTTCAAGAATTCAACATAAATTACTACGATTAAGTCACTGCTATAGTTTTATCGTCCTACTCATATTTTTGTTTTATCGTCCTAGTCATATTTTTGTAAGCAATCTTTAATTAAGTTATAAATATGTAATTTTTTTCATTCATAAGCTGCACTAAAAATTCTATAAAATCGCAAAATTTGAATACAATAATAATAAAATTTTGATGCATAAAATTATAGATCAAAAGTGGACTGCATGTGAGTAGTGAAATGTAACTTCTGTTTTGGGACAGAGTCATTATGTTCATAGTTCGGCATAACACACTAGCTCATCATGAAATTGAAACTATTTGTGTAATTGATGCGAAATTGGTAAAAACCAATATCAATCATACATAAAATTGACACTCCAAAGGAAAATGTTTTTAATTACATTGAAATTTTAAGGATTGATTTGATCTATTATGTTAGTCTAATTTGGTATGATCCAGTGGTGGTAAACATCTAGTGTATACTATTCTCCGATTCTTTTGAATTGCAAAATGGAAAATTTTACTCTTTTCATCTATTAATGTATCAAACTTATTATTCTTTAAGACATTGTTGAATTCATTTCATTACAAATGTTACAATACGATTTTTTAAACTTTTTTTACTAATAGAGAATTAAATACAATGACAGTCAAAGTTATCTAACTACCAAGCTAACTAACTACCTAGCTTAACTTCCAAGCTAACTAAATATCCCGCTCATTATTACAAAATATAAAATCGATCAAATAATGATCACATATGCTAATAGCCTCCCTCAAGGTGGATCTGATATGGAATGAAGATGCGGCTTGGAGGTATTTGTATGAAACATGGTAGGTAGTAGAGCTTTGGTGAAACAGTGTGCTAGCTGACAAGTTGTTGGAACAAAAAAACAACTTTATCAGTCGTTGTTGTATCTTGATTTGAACAAAATGACAATCTACTTCTATGTGTTTTATTTGTTAATGAAAGGTAGGATTCTTTGCAATTTGTATGGCTGATTGACTATCACTGTAAACATGGAATGGTAATGCAGATGAAGCATGAAGATCTCTTAGAAGAATTTGGATCCAATGCAATTCACATGTTAGTGATGCCAAGGCCCTATATTCAGATTCTGAAGATGATCTGGATACAGTCGTTTGTTTCTTCGATTTCCAGGATAATAAGGAATTGCCTAAGAAGACACAGAATCGTGTAACAGACCTTCTTGTGTTAGGACAAGATGCCCAATCAGAGTCTGAAAAAGCTTTTATGTGAAGATTTTTAGAAGATGAAAAGAATAATCCAAGAGAAGGTGAATTTTTGAGATATTTGAGAATTCGTAGGGCTCCATGTAAATGAGGTTCTCTTGGTGAAGATACAAACTGACTGAGCCGTTGTACAACAAATGTGATATCAGGTCTGGTATTTGTGATATGTATGAGGCGCTCTATTAATCTTTTGAAAGAAGTAGGTTTGCCATGAGATTTCCTTCATCAGCTGATAACTTGTGAGCAGGATCTATAGGAGTAGAAGCTGGTTTGCATCCTGAAAGTCCAAACTCATCAATTATTTCAAGGCAATATTTTCTTTGATTCAGAATCATTCCTTTCTTGGATCTAGCAACCTCAAGTGCAAGAAAGTATTTCAAATTGCCTAAATCCTTAATATGAAACTATTGATGAAGGAATGTCTTGACTCTCTTGATTTCAGCATTATCATTACCAGTGAGAATCACAGCATCAACATATACTAGCAAAGCAATCGTAGTTTGTTTGACAAATAAGGAGTAGTCAGCTAGGCTTTGGGTATAACCAAGTTTGTTAAGAGCAAATATGAGTTTTTGATTCCATTGTTTGTTTGTTTGTTTAAGTCCATAAACGGACTTATGAAGTTTGCACACTAGATTCTGTTTGGGAAGAGATAAACCAGTTGGAGGTCTCATATAGTCTTCTTCTTGTAAATTGCCATGTAAGAAGGCATTATCAATGTCCAATTGTTCAAGACACCAATTATTGGAGCATGCTAATGATAGAAGCAACCTCATAGTTGTAAGTTTAGCCACAAAGGAGTATTTCAAAAAAATCAATTCCTTTAGTTTGAGTGAACCCTTTAGCTAGAGCTTTGTGTCTTTTAATGTAGAACCATTTGCCTTTAATTTAACTTTATAGACCCATTTACAACCAACTGCTTTCTTTCTAGGGGGTAATCTTACTAAGGACCAAGTTTATTGTTTTCAAGAGCGGTTATTTCATTGATAATTGCTTTTCTCCAACATTCATGTTCATTGGCTTGTTTAAATGAAGAAGGTTAAGAATGAATTAAGAGAGAGTGGCAGAATGAACTATATTTAGAAGAACATTTAGGAATTTGGAGATGGTTTTGCAAAGAATAAGGCGTTGAAGAAGAAATTGAAGCATTGCCACAGTAATAAGCTAGCATCAAGGTATCCTGGAGCTTTCTTGATTCGTTTGCTTGAGTCATTGGTTTGATTACTAAAATCATGATTTTGATCAGTGTTGTGATCAGTAAGAATGAGATTGGGAGGGTAATTGAGGGATGGAGTGTGAGAAGAATCATTGATATTGAAATCATGCTGATCAGAAGATTGAGTGTGTAAATGAAAGGGAAACTGTGTTTCATACAGAATGACATTTCTAGAAATGAGAAGATTGCAAGGATGAAAGTTATAAAGGATGTATCCTTTTGTACCATCCTTGAAACCTAGAAAAATGTATTTGTGAGCTCTGTTGTCTAGTTTAGAACTATTTGCTGTTAGAGTAGATGCAAAAGCAAGACAACCAAAACCTTTAAATATGTAAGATCAGGTTTTGAAAGAAAAACCAACTCAAAAGGAGATCTTTGAGCTAGTATTGGAGAAGGTATTGTATTGATGATATGGATGGCGTATTAGACAGCAAATGACCAGGAAGATTTTGGAAGTTTGGCTTGAAATAGAAGGGCTCTAGTGACATTTAGAATGTATTGATGTTTTCTACCTACAACAGAATTTCGTTGAGGACATTCAACACATGAAGTTTCATGTACAATGCCTTTGTTATTATAGAATTCCGGTAGAAGAAATTCCTTACCATTGTCAGACCTAATTCTTTTGAGTTTGTTATCGAATTGATTTTCAATTTTCAGAATAAAACTCTGTAATATAGGTCTGACTTCATTTTTAGTTCTGAAAAGATGGGTCCAAGTGAATATGGTAAAATCATCTACCACAGTGAGAAAGTATTGATATCCTTCAAGAGATGATATTGACAAGGGACCCCAGATATCAATGTGAATGAGTTCAAAGAACCTAACAAATTTGGTTGTGCTGCTAGGGTAATGTAATTTCTTTTGCCTAGAGAAATGAGAAACATCACAACACTGAAAAGAAGAATATGGAATATAGCTATATTGAGTAGACAATTGTTTGAAAACAGTGTCAGAAACATGGCCCAACTTGAGATGCCATAACAAAGATGTGTCAACATGACTAGCTATGCTATTATTTGGAATCACAGAGTTTGAATCAACATTTTTACATGGTTTAGTAATCAACTGACTGTCAAAAGAAAGATAGAACATGCCTTGATGCTTTTTAGCTATGCCAATCTTCTTCAATGTGATTTTCTGCAAAATGAAGCAAGTTGAGTTATCAAAGATAATCATATCAGAAAGAAGTTCAGGAATAGACATCAAATATGTAGAAAAATTAGGAACAAATAGCACATGATGTAAAATTAGTTGCCCTAGAATGATAGTTCCTGAAAATGTGAAACAACAAAGGTACCATCAAATAGTCTAATGTGTACTGGGGATATGGGTTGCAAAGAGGAGAAGAGATGTTGTGATGGACAAATATGACTAGTGGCTCCACTGTCTATTATCTAGTGAATAGGAGAAAAATGTTTACCAGGTAGTTTGAAATCAAAAGTAGAAGTGTTGTGGACAGAAGGATTATTTGAGTTTTGAAGTTGAGATTGCTGGAGTAGAGCCAGAACAATGTGATACTGCTCTTTGGACAACACAGAGTGATCCTGAGTATGATTCTCTAGGTTAGAAGCAGTTGAGTCAATAATAGGATCCATATATAGAAGCTAAATTTGCAGAAGAGTTGGCATTTGATGATGTATTTCCTGCTTTGTAGCCCGATGGATAGCTATGTATTCAAAGCATGTTTCACGCGTATGATTGTTTCTACCACAATGATCACAATACTTTTGACTTTTGCCTCTTCCGGTGCCATATCCTCTTCCACCACGATTATTGTTATAACCACCACGTGAACTAGATGATCGTCCACGAGATGAATTATAACCACCGGAATCCTGTATCACATCTAGGTTATGCAGATGACCTACTCATATTTTTAAATGGTGACTCCAGATCTTTAATGAATTTTCACGGATTTCTTACCTTATACAAAGAATCTTCTGTGCAAGCTGTGAAGTTTGACAAAAGTTCCTTTATATGTGGTAAACATGCTGCATACAGAGTACAGGCCATTCATGATTGGTTGGGAATGCAAAAATAATCTCTACCCATGAAATACCTGGGAGCCAATTTGCATAAGAGGATAAACAAGCAACAATATTGTCCGAAGATAATTCATTCCCATGCATCTTTTGGCAGTAGATACTCTGCCTATTAAGATTAAAAATATACTTGAGAAGAAAATGGCTAATTTCCTTTGGGGTTAAGTTCTAATAATAGACCTAAATATCATTGGGTCAGTTGAAAAATTCTATGCTATCCTTAAGAAGAAGGAGGTTTGGATCTTAGATCACTTAATGATGTTGAAAGAGCTTTTTCTCTTAAACTTTGGTGGAAATGGAAGACATCTTCCCAGTTTTGGTCTGATTTCATGAAAGCTAGATAGCCTAGGGATGGGGATATGAGGATTAAAATTACTGACTCACCTATTTGGAGAAGGCTGTGCTTGGTTAATGATCTGGGGGCTTCCTTAATTGATTCCTCAGACTTCCAGCTCACCTGGAAAGTTACAAAAGATGGTCAGTTTACTCTTAAATATGCTTATCTTGCTATTACACATTCTTTGGGTTCCTCACTTGCTTTTAAACAGTTGTGGCATCCTCAGCAACAATCTAAAATCAAACTGTTTCAATGGAGGCCGGTTTTTCATAGGGGGTTTACCTATTACTGGCAGGTTGGTTCATTTTAGGAAGGTTATTCAGCCTTCTACTTGTCCCCTCTGTAGGAATAATGATGATTCTACTAATCACATTTTCCTGGAATGTGATTTCTCTAAGGCTATTTGGTCATATTTTTCTCAAATTATGTCCACATCTATGCCTACTCATTTTTCTTATACACGTAGCATTTTTGTGATTTGGTGGTTTGAGGTTGGTAGCAAAAATTTAATTGACTTGTTCAAGCACAACCGCCCTGGAATTATCTGCTGGAACATTTGAAAGGTTTATACTGACCAAGTCTGGGGATCTGGTTCAAGGACACCTAACTTTGCTTATAGTATCTGGAAAATCAAACTTTATACTCAGGACTGGGTTTTAAGTTTTTTAAATCAGAAACTGGGCAAGATTGATAACATTTTATACGAAGAACTAGTATAGTACCCGTGCATACGCACGGGAAAGAGCAGTTGGTGCATATATTTGTACTCATGATCTAATTACAAATTAATATATAAATATTTCCCGCTTAATAATTAGCAAGATTATCTTCTAATATTTAAAAGCACCACATATGAGAGAGAACGAACTCCCCCGCTCAATTTTTAGCTTACATATCTTCTTATACCTAAAAGCAGTACATATGGGAGAGAAAATTCTCTTGCTCAATTGTTAGTTGGATTATGATACTTAAAAGAACTACATATGAGAAAGAAAGTTTGTCCGCTCAATTGTTAGCACACTTATTTTCTTATCTTCATATATCTAAAATTGCTACATATGAGAGAGAAAATTGTCTTAGGTTGTTCAATTTCCCCGCTCAATTGTTAGCAAACTTATATTGTAATATGTAGAAGCATTACATGTGAGAGAGAAAATTCTCCCGCTCAAATTAGGAAGCTTATTTTCTGTTACTCAGAACCACTACATATGAGAGATAAAGTTCTCACGCTCAACTGTTAGTCGGCTTATCTTATTTTATACTTAAAAGCACTACATATGAGAGAGAGAGATTTCCCGCTCAATTATTAGCAAATTTATCTTCTAATAATACCTAAAAACATTACATATGAGAGAGAAAATTTTCCCACTCAATTGTTAGCAAGTGTATCTTTTGATACATTGAAATGCTACATGTGAGAGAGAAAATTCCCCCGCTTAATTATTAGCAAGCTTATTTTCTTATACATAAAACCGCTACATATGAGAGACAAAATTCTTCTGCTCAATTGTTAGCCGGCTTATCTTATATATACTTAAAAGAACTACATATGAGAGAGTTTTCTCACTCAATATCTAAAAGCACTACATATGAGAGAAACTTTTCCCGCTCAATTTCTCTACTCAATTGTTAGCATGGTTATCTTCTCATACATAGAAAGTTAGAAACACTATATATTAGAGAGAAAATTCTTCCGCTCAATTATTAGCAAGTTTATCTTCTTTTACCTAAAACCACTATATATACTACTCGTGCATACACACGGGAAAGAACAATTGATGCATATATTTTTACTCATAATCTAATTAAATATAAAAATAAAAATAACATTTTAGGATTCTACATTTTCAAAAAATAAGAGTACAATGAGCTAATACCATAAAGTATAAGCCCATCTAAGATCACTACATATGAAAGAGAATCTTTTCCAGTTCAATTGTTAGCCGGTTTATCATATTATCTTCTTCTTCTTTATACCTAAAAGCACTACATATGGGAGAGAAAATTCTCCTGCTCAATTGTAAGTGGGATTATCATACTTAAAAAAATTACATATGAGAAAGAAAGTTATCCCGCTCAATTGTTTGAAAGTTTATCTTCTTATTTTCATATACATAAAGCAAGATATATGAGAGAGGAAATTATCCCACTCAATTGTGAGCCGACTTATCTTATATAAGGAATACTTAAAGTAACTACATATGAGAGAGAAAGTTATTTCGATCAATTGTAAGAAAAGTTATCTTTTAATACCTAAAAGCAAGTTTATCTGCTAATATCTAGAAGCACTATATATGAATATCTTTTACAGATATTGATCTCATACCAAAGATAAAAAATATATGAATTTTGATATATTTTATGTAAACATTGGAGCAAGAATAAAAAAGTTATAACACCATAAAAATCAAGTTTTTATGCATAATCCTGATTTAGAAATTTGTCCATGTTTACCAGATTCTAAAATAAGAATCGGAAAGATCTAAAATCCTACATGCGGTTGTGAAGTAGACATGTTGCAGAAAATAACACCAATGTTCAACAAACCAAACATGGATTATAAAAATTAAAATCTAGCTAAAGATCATATGACGGAGATGATGGTAAGAAAATTAACTACGGAGTATTATAACTTTATGTTTCTTATTGTTGATGTTCCGTATGAGTCTCATTGAGCGGCTTTAATAGACAAAGTGACAATATAGAATCTGTTTGGTATCATTGAAATTGGTTGAATCGAATGAATCTATTAAAATTGATGAAATTCTAGCTGTAATATCTAATTTGGCTGCATATGTTAAATTATGTAAAAAGTACATTTGAAATCTATGTTATTAATAAAACAGAAAAAATATATATATGAAAAATAGCAAAAAATGATTATCTATAGTAAATTTAATCAATTCAACTTAAAAAGTAACTCTAGGAGCCCGTTTGGTAGTATGAAAATTGGCTGATTTGGCCAATTCTACTGATTTAAGAAAAAATTATTTTTAGAATATATATTATTAATAAAATAAAGAAAAAATTATATGTAAAAATAGGTAAAATGGTCATCTACGGTAACTTCAGCCAATACAGTCAGAAAAGTAACTCCAACCTTACTTTTTCTGCTCATTACACAATTCAGCACACGAAAGCAAAAATTACGTGTTTGTTGAAAAAGTTGGTTGATAAGCTTGATAAAGTGAAAAATAGTGTTGTCAAACGGCCTCTAGATCTCTAGTCCTACTCATTTTGATTTTTACACATTTTAGCGCTGGTTTATTAGTTATACATTTATATATCCAATATTGATCTCATTTAAAACATCACAAAAAATTATAAATTTTGATATACTTTTTGTGAAATTTGAAGGAAATATGAAAAAGTTAGAACACTTAAAAAAATGGGATTTTGATACTTTAGGCCCCACCCACTACAACTCCCAGCCGTGTGCCATCTTCATTGCCTTGGGTGTATTCGTTACTTGCAAGTGAAAGTAGCCACATGGCTTTAAGTTAGCAAAGGAGAGAATTGTGCATAGTTGGCTTTTTTGAGGACATTTTTGTCTTTTAATGAGTTATTTCTTTTGTTATATATAAATAGACAACTAATTCCTCTAGGTTTTAAGCTTAATCAGAGACTCTTAAAACCCATTCGTTGGTTGAAACCAAATAGAGGATTGAAGTTAAATATAGATGCAGCATACATACCGGATTCGGCCTTAGGTGGGGCGATTTTGAGGAATCAAAGAGGAGAGCTGATGTGTGCCTTTGCTTTTCCGATTTCTGCTTCTTCGTCTTCGGAAGCGGAGCTGATTGCAGCGATGAGGGCTACGCGATGGGTGATAAGTGAAGGTCACCGTGATTTTCAGGTAGAGATTGATGTTGAAATTGCTCTTAGCTTTCTTTCAGGTGGAATCAATGTTGCTAGGTCTGAAGATATTATCGAGTTCAAGCAGCTGTGTTTTAGGAAAGGGGTTAGCTTCACACATATTTTCAGGGAAAGAAATAGACCAGCCCATTATCTAGCGGCTTTGCATCCGGCCCGTTTATGTCTTGGACTTCTGTTGACTTGCTGCTCGGTCCAGTCGTATCGAATTTAATTTTGATTTGTTTAATATTCCATATATTAGATGACTTGTTTAGTGTTTTTTTATCAATTGGGTTAGGTTTGACCCCCAATTGCGGTTATTTTCTTTTTTGCTGTGATGTATTTTCGAGAGGTATGCCTCCATCAGAAATGTTTTGGTTTGGTCCCCCTTTCCACTTTACTTTTATATGATTATTAATTAAATCTGATAAATGTTCCCCGGCATTTACCCCACCGACTTAGGTGATTTGCCTATCGGGAATTAAAAAAAAAACTTCCAAGCTAACTGAATATCCAGCTCATTATTACAAAATATAAAATTGATCAAATAATGATCATATATGCTAATAGGAGTATAATACCTTGCTTTCATAACATGATATAAAGTTATAAACCCCTGTTTGCTTGTTGAAGAACATGAATAATGTAAACCTCTTTTTATTTGTCTATAAGACCCTGTTTTGTGGCTATAATATATACTGTATCGTACGTATATGTTTTCGATCGACATAATATGTAAGAGAGGGCCGGCCGTCGGGTGATATCTGGTTAATTGCGCCAAACCCCCTTGTGAAATATAAATTCGGCGCCATAGTCTCTGTGATTTACAAAATGCGTCAAATCCCCTTGTGTTTTAATTAATCATGCACAAAACCCCCTTCAAGAACAAATTTTACAATTTTGAAATCACTATTTTTAATAATATGGTTGAATATGCAAGTAACTTTGTCAAAATTTCTAAATTATACAAAAAAACTAATCATTTTTCATTTTTTGGAAATTAAAATTGTTCTAGGAGGGGCTTTGGCGCATGATTAATTATAACATAAGGAAATTTGATGCATTTTTTAAATCACAGGAAGCTAATGCGCCGAATTTATATTTCACGAGGGGGTTTGATGCATTAAACCCAGTTATATCAACCTGAAAATTGCGATTGGAATTGATTAACATAATAATCAATTGCACTATTTTTTACTAACTCGATAATGCAGGGGAAATTAAGTCTACCAAAATAAAAACATAAAGGGGTGGTGTATCTCTGCCGACCAAGATAAAAAATTAATTTAAGTCTACCACTTACATTAGTTACTTTCACTCATTTCTTAGAAATTGTCACGCCTTGCATCTTACCGACTTACACCACCCATTTTATTAAAGTAATTGCCCCATATAGGACTAAAAGAGGAGAGAATTTTTTAAATAGGACCATGTATGATTTTTCTCCAAATAGGACTATTTTAGTCCTATTTGAAAACATCCATATTTTTATTCCATTATTACCCCCTTATCTCTTTTTACGCTCATCTATCTTCTCCCCTCTTCCCTCACTGCGCATCATCGACCGACTTCACCATAGCCATCGCCGCTGCCACCGATTTTTGCCCTTCACACAAGATCAATTTCTCTCTCACGCCGCCGCTTCAGCCAATTTCTTCGTACGCCACTGCCACTAAGGTTCTCCTCCATCCTTCTTCTTCTTCTTCTTCTTCTTCTTCTTCTTCTTCTTCTTCTTCTTCTTCTTCTTCTTCTTCTTCTTCTTCTTCTTCTTCTTCTTCTTCTTCTTCTTCTTCTTCTTCTTCTTCTTCTTCTTCTTCTTCTTCCTCTTATTCTTCCTCTTTCTCTTCTTCTTCTTCTTCTTCTTCTTCATCTTGTTCTTCTTCTTCTGGATTTTCCTCCATTTTTTTTGAATTTTGAATTGATTTTTCCATTTTTTCAGACTTCTATTTCGATTTTCTGGTTTTTAATTTCAGAATAAAAACAAACGATTTTCATAAATTTTTGGATGATTGCTTCAGATTTGGCCAAGTTTATGGCAAAAACGTGTACATTTACAATCATATTATGGAAGAAATGCTTTGGTATACATTGGTTTTTCTGTTTTTTTTGTCAATAGCTTCATTTTTCTAATTTTTGGTTGTGTTAAAATGATTGTTCCATTAAAATTTTTAGTTGTTTGAATATTTGGTTATTTACTTCATGTTTTTTTTTATTTTTGCCAAATTTATGGCAGTTTTGTGTGACTGATGCCAAGTTGAATCTGCCAACTTTTTTGGCAGATCTGAAGCACTTGTTCATGGCAGAAGTGAATCTAATCCCCAATGCTCAGAGGATAGTGGCTTGGGTGGATGGTGACGCCGATCAGATAGTGATGGCATAGATGGCAACGCTGGTGTGGGAAGCGGCAAAGGGCGGTGATGGATGGTGATGGTGCATCGACAAGGATGCGGTGGCAGATGGTAGACGGCGAGGGCGGCGACAGGGGGCGCTGTCGCCGGAGAGGGCGGCGGCAGGTTGCGCCGGCGAGGAGTGGCGGCAGGTTGCGTCGGCGAGGGGTGGCGGCAGGCGGTTTGGCTCTGGTTGCGGCAGTGCTACTTCTAGGGTTTCAATAATTTTTTATTTTACAATTTTAAAATTTAAAAAATTAAAAGAGGGGTATTTTTGTCCAACTGTACTGAAATTGGTCTTATGAAAGTTGTGTTTCCTTTGTGGTCTTAAATGTGCAATTAACTTTTATATTAGTCCTATTTGAGTCATTAACTCTATTAAACATAATAGAGTTATTGTTATTATTCATATTGTTATTATTCATATTATTTTAATAAACATAATAGGTTGTTCCTCTGTATTACATCTAGGGATAGGAATGGGGTGGGGTTGGGGCGGGGGTTCACTCCTCATCCCCACCCCGTGTCTAAAAAATCGCCCCCACCCCCCGCTCTGACCTGCTAGACCCACAGATACCCAATTGGGGAAATGTTCATAAAAAATTAACACTATTTTAGATCCAGGCAGTTTTTCAAAAATCAAACAACACTTCTAGTACGTAGCGAACCTTTCAGTTTTTAAGTGTCAATGTAATCTTACATCTCATTTCAAATCTAAAACACATTATACACGTTTTGATTTAGTCATTTTATCAAGGCGAAATTCATACAAATAATCCTTACTTTTAAGGATTATACATTAATAATCCATACTGAATGAATTAATAAAAATAATCTGAACTGTTAAACTTGTTGACAAAAACAGATGAAAGTAAACGTTACTAACTGTTCCGTTATAATCTCATCCCGTCGCATACTCCCCTCTCTCTAGTACATAGCTTCTTCTTCCTAGGAGTATTTTTATCTTCTAATCTATCATCTTGTTCACTATATTCTCTGCAATTCTTCAGAATCACATAAATTCTTCCCGCCACCCTTCAATTCTTCAGAATCATTCATCACATTCATCTACCCCTATTTTCTTGTTCATCTTGCAAACCCTAAATCTACGCATATAAAATTTTCTTCTAAATCATGACCTTTTGTAATTCTAAGGAAGCAAGTTCAATATATGGTCCATCACTAAATTACACGCCCAAATTAGCCGTCAAGTGCGAACACGATGCGGTTTCTCCTTTGAAGACAGTAACATCCTGAGCAAACAAGGGAAAGAGGTTTTACAGTTGTCCTTTATGGCAGGTACGGTTCAACCCTGTCTAACAGCTGCAGGCTTCATATGCATAAGTGAATAACTTAAGAAAACAGAAGATATGGATAATCAATCATATCTAAACTGTATCATACCTTAGAACAAAAAAAATATGCCTAACCTTTTTATTGATTAACTAGTCAAATAGCAATGGAGAGTTGACAGTTGCAAATCTATAGAGAACAAAACATAAACTTTGGTACTTTAGATTGTGAAAGTCTAAAAATACATCAGTAAATAAATGGGGTGAATTATACGTATTCAAAGCTAGATCGCATGGTACTTTAGAACAAACTGCACATTCGAGCCCTTAATTATTTAGTGTTCCGTTAGTTTACTTATAGCAACAACCTGATTTATGTTTTTTTATTTGCAGATTGATAATTGCAGCTTCTTTTTATGGGAGCATGATGCAAAGAAGATGAAGAATATGATGCCAATGGATGCAGAAAAATTCATAATTTTGAAGGAGAATGAAAAGCTTAAAGAAGATTTGGACAAAATGAAAGTTGAGAACAAAATGTTACTCGAGAAAATTTGTAAACTTAGAGTGAAGTAGAAATTTTAAGAAGCTGAAGGTAGGAGGGCCTCAAAGGCAGAAAAAAATGATATGTGTGTTGTTGTTTTATTTGGATTTGTAATTTTCATTGTATATATAGTTATAACTGCCCTGGTCCAATTTTGTATCTTTTGAACAACCTAGTTTTGTACTGAAAAGGTGAACTTCAAGCTTGATATGTAATTTACATATGATCTTTTTGTATTCAACAAGTAGTGCACTTTGATCTTTTTGTTTAGCATCTTTGTTCTGGTCTTGTAATATTTGTTTTGAAATGTGAGTTGTATGCCAACACTTGCAACCTTGAAATAAGTTACTGTCATAACCAAAACAAAAAACAAGAAAGGTTTATATATTACTTGTGCTCATAAATGACTTGATTTTCTGAAACTAAAACTAAAAGCATTTGTAAAAGTCACAAACATGATTAAGGAATTACCTCTCTTATAATATTAGAATTATCTAAAGAAAGTGTTGGTAGCAGTAACTAAACACCCTAATATTTACACTTTCACATCTATAACAAACACTGCCTTATAAAAAGGTTACTTTTTATGTTTGCTAATATAATGGAAACAACAAGTTGCTTTAATTATATTCCATAAATAACTTCAACTATTAAAGACTATCTATAAACAACCTAATAAAACCGTCACTCTTGCAATTCCAGAATCACCCAAAGCCCTTAATTATAGCAGTGTTGGTAGCAGTAACTAAACACCTTAATATTACACTTTCACAAGCACACTTCCACTAAATAGCTAAACTAACCACATTATCTAAAAATAGGGATAAATATGCAGTAGCATACTCACGTAATAAGTAATATCTCAATAATCAGTACAACATAAGTGCAATTGCATTTTAGAACCCACAATACCAATAACAGAGGGCTATTTTTACAATGAAAATAAAACAACCACAATACAAAAGTCTGAAATCACACTAATAAGACAGAATAGAACACTACAAAATAAAACAATCACATTCCCAAAAATAAAATTCAGAAACCATAAGCCAAGGAGGTCTTCATCTTCATGAAAGTAATTGATAAAAGTTTCTTCATCTCCCGGTTGCATCTATGGAAGCCTGAATGCTTTCTGATGGAGTATATGGGTCTAGGCCCCAGGACCCACATACTCAGAAGAACAGAAAGTACAAGCCACTACGCAGTGCCCTCGTC